GTCCTCCCAAACATTTTCTCTGCACTGCATGGAATTTTAATTGTAAAGTAGAGTAGAACCTCATTGAGAGCAAGAACCACATCTTGGTCATTTCCTTAGTCCCAGCACCTAGGATAATACTTGGTGTAGAAAAGGCACTTGATAAAATCGTTTTGAATGGAAACTGTCTCAAATCTTCCAGTAGGCGAGGGGCGGTGTGGGGAGGGAGACTAACCCATTGTCATTATCATTGCAGATGGTTTAGCCAAAGGACGAACAAATGTGTGAGAGGCTGGTGGGGGACGAGTTAGGGTGGGCGACCCTCGGGTGCGTGGGGACTTTCACGTGACAGTGCCAAGCAGCCCCACGGGGCAGCCAGGTGTTTCAGTGATGCAAGAACACAAGTGTTCTAACAAGCCCTGCCTCTGTCAGCAAGTCCAGAGGACACTTACAAAGCAGGTGCGGCCAGCATTGTCTCAGGTCTCCTGTTGGGGGTGGTGCTGGTTTGAGAGAGCTACAAAGAACCTTGCCCACCTCTGCGGAGGGCCCATCTGTTGGCAGCGGGTGCCTCATCTCCCACCCCAGCTCTGGTTCCATGTCTGGGAGCTCCCCCTCTTCCCCCTCCGCATGCACCCACGTCCGGGACCCAAGATGCCCATTCTGAAGTCTGCCCTGACCACTGCCCCACCTCTCCACCCCCATCTGCCCTTGGGCCACTGCCTCACCAGCTCCTACCCGGCTCCTTGTTTCAGGGTTGTCCTCAAACCTCTCCCCCTCGCAGCTGTCATTCCTGCTTCCAGTCCTTCCTTGGCTCCCCGTCTAGGACTCAGGGCTTCGGAGGCCTGGCTGTGACCCCGGGGCTGTATCCGCGCCTGGGACGCCGCTCCTGTTTCTCTCATCAGGAACTTCCCGGACACTGAGCCCTGAGCGGACTGGAGCTGCTGCTGACAGCACTGGCCTGAACCCCTGCTCCTCCCCCCCTCTTCCTTCCCTCCCTTCAAGTTCCTGGCTTTTCCTTCAGCCACCTCCTCGGCCCCAAGCCTAATCTAATTGCAGACTCTTCAGGCTCCTCCCTGTCATTGTCCCTCGGTGGGAAAGTTGCTCAAGGTCACATCACAGGTCAGGGGCTGGGCTGGGACCAGAGCCTACATCCAGCCCCTTTCCAACTACTCAGGGCAGGTGAGGTGAGCGCCCTCCCCTGGCCGCTCCTTGGAGACAGGTCAGGGCAGAGTCAGCTGCCCCCTTTAGAGTGAGTGTCCCTTCTCCTAGACTTGGGACCTTTCACATCCTGGCTATTCTGTGTGCCTGCTTGGTCATGAGTCCCCGGTGCCTCTGGTTGGGTCATTAATTCTGGGGTGGGGTGGGGTGGCAGGTGGCAGAAGAGACCCAGTTAGGAAAAATGGGCTTGATAGGAAGGCCACAATCTGCCACCTGCTGGCTAGAGTCAAGCTCCTAGCAATCTCCTCCTGGTCCTTGAATCTTGCCTTAAGCCAGTGGTTCTCAACCTTCCTAATGCCGCGACCCTTTAATACAGTTCCTCATGTTGTGATGACCCCCAATTTCATTGTTACAAATTGAACATAATTAAAGCATAGTGATTAATCACAAAAACAATATGTAATTAATGTGTTTTCCATTGTTACAAATTGAACATAATTAAAGCATAGTGATTAATCACAAAAACAATATGTAATTATATATGTGTTTTCCGATGGTCTTAGGCGACCCCTGTGAAATGGTCGTTCGACCCCCCAAAGGGGTCGAGACCCACAGGTTGAGAACCGCTGCCTTAAGCACTGTGACCTTGAAATCTGGGATCTCTGTCCTCACCTTCCTCCTCCCACGTGGGCCCTCTCCTTTTCATTGTCCCTGTTTCCATCACTCAATCTGGTCACCCCGTTCACATTAGCACCCCAGTCTCAGGGATCTGAGTAGGAAGAGGGCTGGGGCTAGGGCAATACTCAACCCAAAGGGACTATGGGCTAAAGAGGGGGGCGGGGGGAGGTGTTCCAGGCAGTGTGACAGCCAGGTCTAAGGGAGAGGCCCTGACAGGGCTTCCTACAACTCCTAAGACCCGACCCTGTAGATGTTCACTTTGTGTCTCTAAGGAAGGCTGACCCATTTGTGTTTGTTACCGAATTAAAATTCCAAGGAAAGTCAGGCTTCAGGTTGTTCCCAAGTAGAAACGCTCATGCACAGAATACAAGGAGCTTCTGCCAACACCCCAGACAGACGCTCTCCCCTCTCCCTCCCTGCACCACCGGCCTGCAATCCCCAGGCGGGCCAAGGAGGGAGGAAGGGGAGGAGGGAGGTGGGAATGCTTCCTGTGGTCCAGGGAAGTGTCAGCTCTGCTCCGTGCAGCGAGGCTGAGGGCTGGTGCTGTC